GCTCCCTGGCGTGCGGGCTCCCCGTGCACCCCCAGATGAGCGTCCAGGCCCGACACCCGTCCCCTCCTTCCCATCCTCCCAGAGGGGCCCCGTGGGTCTGGGGCGTCTCCACCCAAGTGGGGCGCACCCCAGGGCAGCCCCGCGCTGCCCTCCCCTGCCTCTGCCAGCGTGACAAGCCCGGCCCAGCGCCCGGCCGCTCACAGCTGGCGGCCGAGGAGGCACCAGCCCCCAGCCACGGGCGCAGGGCGGGGTCCCCCACCGCCCTCAGGGGGAGCGGTCAGCTCTCCTGGCTGCGCCCCAGGCCTGGGAGCCTGCGCTGGGGTCGGGCTTGCCCTGGTGGACAGAGGGGGAACTGAGACTGGAGGTGGGGCCCCCCACACCCCAAAGCAACTTCCTGGGGGGCTGGGTTCGGCAGGGGCGCGGGCTCCCGGGGCATCGCCTCTCCCAGAACAGGGAGAAGCCCTCACCCCAGGTCTGGACTGGGCAGCTCTGCAGGGCCCCCCGAAGTCAGGGATGGGGGTGCCGGAAGGCTCAGAGGCGCCGGGAGCGGGGTCGGGGAGACAAGGGGCCCAGAGACAGGAGGCTGCAGCTGGGGGCGACGCCGGCCAGGGGGGCTCCCGACGGGGGCACAGGCGGCCTCAGCGGCCACAGCCCGCAGACAACCTGGGGGCAGCAGGCCCCGGGCCCTGAGGCACCCGCGCCCTCTCTGGGGCGGGCGGGGAGCAGGGCTGCCGCCTCCCGGGCACCATCTCACAGCTCCAGCACCTCCCGCCGCCCGCAGGGTGGAGGCCCCGGGGGGCAGGGGGCGCCCAGGGGGCACGGGGCCTCGCCCCTGTTGCCCGGGCTGACCTCGCGCTGCAGCGTCTAAACTGGGTGGTTTTGGTCTCCGGCCCTGCGGCTTGAGGGAACATAACCCCGTTTCCTCCAGGGCTGAGGGGCTGCAGGGGGGCTCAGCCGCTGGGGGGTGGGGGGCCGTGCCAGGGTACAGGTGCACAGAACCCCAACGTCAGGCCCTGGCACCGGCAGGATGCGGGTTGCCGGGTGCGCGGGAGGGTGCGGGGTGGTCCGTGGGCATCGGACCCACTGCGAGGCTGCCCGGCCGGCCGGCCACCGAGGCGCGACACCCCGCACCCCCTCCCCAGGGCCTTCACAGCGCCTCCGCACTGCAGGCGGAGCCGCCGGGTG